TTTTTTTATTAAACCAAAATATAAATATGATATGTATCACTTGATAATTTTTTTTAATAATCGTTATTGCATACATACCTAAGAGTATAATGTTAAAAATATTAAACATCTAACTTAAAAAAAATCTTTAAATACCCAAAATTATCTTAAAATATAATTTTGGCATTTATTTTTGCAATAAGCTTTTGGGTGTCAACACAAAAGGCAGCAGCTGGATGAAGGTTAAGCTAGGATCTCAATCCAAATCATTTTACTAAATTAAAAGTTCATGTTTTCAATTTTATATTTAAAAAAAACAACTGTTATTATTTTTGATTTTACGTACTTTCCTTATTTTAAAATTTTTAGTCAAATATTTTTTCAGTAAGTTTCATAAAAATAATAAAGATGAATTAATTGAAAAACAAAAGATAGGAGCAGATTCTTAGATTGAAATTTGGAATCCGAGAGTCCATAAAAACTTTTAGAGTAAAATATAGTAATGGTCATTGAACTTTTCTAAAGCTTTCATTTAGGTCTCCTAACTTTTAAAACTTACAATATCATCCCTCAATATTTAGTCTATTTGCAATATGGTCCCTCAACATTTAGTCCGTTTATAATATGGTCTCTGACGTAACTATTGGGGGACTATATTGCAAACAGACTAAATATTGGAAGACTGTATTGCAAGTTTTAAAAGTTGGGGGACCTAAATAAAAAACTTTAGAAAAGTTCAATGACCATTACTATACTTTTCCCAAATAATAAATAAAGTTTAATTTTTTAAGTGCAGCAAAATATTGATTAATAATTTAGTATATATCAATTTATTATTTTTTATTATCTATTAGTAAATCAATAATTTTTTAATGAAATAATTTTTTAAGATAACTATTAAAAATTATATTAAAAAATTTAATAAGTTGTTCGAGAACTTATCAAGTCGGGTTAGATTTTGCTCGACTTAACTAATTAAAGTCTTGAGTTTGAGTTGAGCCAATCCGAGTTAAATTTTTACCGAATTTTGACCGAGTTAAGTTCGAACTGCTCACAATTTGTACCACTAATTAAGCATCCCTAGTCTTAATCGTTGGATGTAAGATCAAGGCTAAAATTCTTTAATCGCACGGTTCTTGGTTGCTCGGCATCACAGCCTTGCACCATTTTGGTACTTTCCAGTATCATCCATGAATGTTAAACGTGAAAAGTGAAGGCTAAAATGAAAATTTGATTTTTAAATTTAATTTTATCATTTTTATTTATCATAAGTATACATATTTTCTTAAAAATATGATTTATTTATTTCATAAAATACAATAACATGAAAAAAAGACTTAGAAAATTGGTGATTATTTTTTTTTGTATTTGAAGTATAATATATTTTATTGATAATCAATATCTATCAAACATGAAAAAATAATTTTAGAATTTAATAGATAGATTAATAAAATAAATAAATAGCCATCAACTATAAAGACAATGGAAAATTCAATTTGATTTTTTTAAAAATATATCAAAATGTACTACTACAAAAATCGACAAAGCAAACACTATTTTTATTAAAAAAATTGTAAAAAATACGGAACTTAAATCTAGAAAATAGTTTTTAAATAAATAAATAAAAGAAAAATTACCATTAAATTATATATTAAAAAAATAAGGAACTTGCAACTATTTTCAAGTTATGACTTATAATGATTTTTTAATTATTTAAAATGTCTAATCGGGATTGTAAATAAGATGAGTTGAACTTGAGTATTGTTAAGTTCATCTTGATTCGAAAAAGTTTAAAGTTGTGCTTAACTCAATTCGACATATTGTGAGCTTAAAATTATCAAGTTTGACTGAAACTCTAAATCAAAAATTAAAGCTCATCTCGAGCTTGAGCAATTTGAACTCGAAACATTATCAGACTTAACTAGATTGAATCTCAAACTTGAACTCAATTCAAAGTCAGACTCGAATCTGAATTTTAAGTGCATTTTTAAAAAAACAACATATAAATATTAATATGATTAATAATTTAATTTAGACACTAAAATTTTAGTATATTATTTTTCGAATTGCTCTCAAACTTTGATCAAGTTGAACTTGAGTAATTTGTAAACTATCTTGTCTCATTTATAGTCTTATGTCTAACCGACACTTTAGTAATGTATGATTTAGCAGCTAATTAGACATCTAAACCAAATTTTAATGGTGTTTGAAGAAAATAATATACCTAAAAATAATATGTTAAATATATTTTTTACTAAAATAAATTGAATTATAATCTATAATTGCCAACGAATTGATTTTATATTTAATTAGGATTAAATATGAAGATGAAGTTTGGCGTTGAATTTAGGATGTTTAAATAAATGAAAATTAATGATGAAGTGTCCACCACTCCCTCCCCATCTTTCAAGTTGCTTTGTTTTCTACATGTTCTCGTCCATATCCAGATAAATGGTTGATTAGGAATATTTAATTATTGATATTAAAATAATTTTGCACTTAATTACTCCTAATTGATTTATAAAGGTATGTTTGAATACAAAAATTAGAATTTTGGAGGTTTTTAAATTTTTAGTATTTTGAATAATTTTAAAATGTTAGTGTTTATAATCAGATTATTTAGACAAATAATTATTTAAAAAATCAGATTATTAGAATTTTATAAGTTTAAAAATAATTATAAAAGAAAATAATGATAATAAATATATAAGATATAAATAAAATTAAATAAAATGATATTTGTAAAATTTTATTTTGTAGTAGTATTTTCGTATGCATCAGATGAAATAAGATTAGGATTTTAAAAAAATATCTAAGTGGAATTTAAATATTTTAAAACTCCTTATAAATTTTAAAATTACTCATATTTTTACTCAAAAAAAATATTTTAATATTTCAAAATCTTAATAAAATAAATTATCTCTTTAAAATTCTCATCCAAACATAGTCATTTTACCTAATGTGTAATGTCACTAGACAATTAATTAATATTTTCCAAACAAAATTAAAATGATAACTTCCTAATTTCACCTGTTTTTTGTTTTTTTTAAAACCATGCAATAATATTTAATTATTACTTATTAAAATAAATCAATTATTATATGAATGATTAAAAGATGTGTCAAGTATAGACTTTAACATTCAAGGTTCAAGCATGACTCTATTTATGTATCATATAAAAATAAACAAATATAATATTATAATATAAACACTTAAAAATATTAAATTATATATTTTAACATTAAAACAATACTAAATATAATTTATTTTAAAAAAATTGATAATATGAGAGAGCCTACAATAATATAAATTTAACATTTTAAAAGTATAATTTAGCATCAATTTTGTTTGCAGACTAGAGTTCATACTCATTTTATTGTGTATATGTTTGGGGTTCAACAATTTTCTCTTTCACTAATGTCCTTTTCAAAATTTAAATTTAAAAATATTCTTTTTATTTATTAATTTTAGATAAATATAAGATAATATATATTCATAAATTTTAAAATAGGTTTTCCTGAAATCTATGGTGCTTAAAATCAGGTCTTCAGGAATATCAATAATTCCTTTATTACGGAAGTCATTTGGTTTGTGTAATTTAAATATTTTTTTAATAATATAATGTATTTACTTATTATATCTAATATTCATCTACTAAAATTAAATATAAGACAAATAGATCCGAATAAATTAAAACGAAACCTCGAAATCGGAAGGGCAAATAAAAAGAAAAAGAAAACGCATTGATTAATAAGATCGCATCCAGATATCTTCCTTTCCTTCACCTGCAAAGGTTGTCTCATTAATTAAAATATATTCAACTTGATTTTGTTTATCATATTTTATCTTTATATTTTAATTATATTATTAATTCCTTTGATTGGAGTTTGCAACTATCTATTTTACCGCTACACTGTTCAGTTAGCAAACATATTTTAATTTAATTTAGTAACCATAACTCATTTAAAAACATTAGTAAAAGGAAATGTTATAAGGGTAAAGTACACATATTGTCTCCAACTGTAAGGGTTGTTTTTTAAGTTTTAAATATTAAAAGTTACAAAATAGTTTTCTTATTATAAAATATTATTTTGTTAAGTTTATTGACTATTAAAAGTTATAAAATAATTTTTTGACTATATAAAATTATTTAATTAAGTTTCTCGACTATTAAAAGTTATAAAATGGTTACTCAACTATTCATATATTTCAAACTCATAATTTTATGTTAAAAATTGGGCGACATTTTGAGTTTGTCGTTAATATGTTGACGGAAAGATAATAAAATCTGATCTCAGAATTGTTTGAGTTGTACTTGTGGTCGATTCTTCGTTTACATTATGTCGTTGAGTAAGTGCTTAAAACATTATACTGTCGAGTTAGTGATTGAAATCAATGACGGTGCTAGTAAACATCATTAAAATTTATTATATCTCAATTAACATGTTAATATTTAGCTCAGACGATCATCAATTTTTTAATAAAAAACGATAAGTTTGAATTATATATATAATTAAGTGACCGTTTATAATTTTTAATAATCGAATGACTCAATAAAACATCACTCTATAATTGAGAGATTTAATAAAACAACCTATAATCCGAGGGCCATTTATATCCTCAAGTTATTTTTTTCTAAAGCATCTGGATTTAAATAGCTGCATGCATGGTATTTGATTGTTGTTATAGATTAATTTTTTAATATATATTAACTTATAATCAATCAAATCTATTAAAATAAATAAATAACCCTACAAAACAAATGGTATAAATATTATTTAATAAAAGATTAAATATATATGGATTATTTTAAGAAAGAAATCGACAACTCAGAGCGCGAACACAAGGGAACATAGTGCCATTAAACCCGTGACTGTTACTACAGTGTCCACCAACACCTGGCTGTAAAAATGGCGGAAACGCGTTGGAAGAAGAACATCAACTCTTATATAAACACAAGGGAGCTATCCAAGATAACCCAAGTGAGGCTGAGCACACCAAAATCTTGAGAGAAATTTTTTAAAACATTTGATTCATTCTGGGTTTTTCTTTGTTAAATTTCTTCCCCTCTTCTGCAACTTCCCGTTTCTCTGAATCCCTTTCTGTTGATCATCTGTCTTTGAACAACAATATGATTTCTGGGTTCGTTTTCAATAGTTTCAAAAGCCAGGTGTTTTCAGAATCGAGATCAAGTTCTTGTTTTTTCTTCAATATTTTGTCTTCCCAATATTAAATTTTAGTTTTACTTTTTGGTTCTGTAGATGCAATCAACTTAAAGGGCGAATTTTGGTCCCTTGAAGTTTGATCTTTTTGACTTGGATTAAAGGGGTTTCATATTTTAAAGAACCTGCTTAATTAATCCATTTTCTGGGTTTTCAAACCCGTTCTTAAGTATTTATCAAGAAACATGTTGATTTTATTTTAAGTTTTTAATAGTTTTATCTTTTCTTTGTTTTTATTTTAAGGTATGACAGATACAATGGATTTCTTTAATAGCAGTAGTAGACCATTTCAATCATGTTTCTATGGTGGAGAATTGATGGAAGCTGTTGAACCTTTTATGAAATCTGCTTCTTCTTCTTCTTCTTCCCCTTCCCCTTCTTCATCCTCTTTATTTTACCCGCCATTTTCAGTTCTCCAAGAGCCGGTCCTACCCGGTCCGACAATTCCCCAGATCCCGGCTCAGTTCAATTTCCAAACCATCCAACCTAGCTACCTTAATCAAAATCCTCAACCCACCAACCATATGGCTAGGTTTATTAGCCCCAAACCGATTCCGATGAAACAGATGGGTTCACCACCAAAACCGACCAAGCTTTACCGAGGTGTTAGGCAGCGTCACTGGGGGAAATGGGTCGCCGAGATCCGGCTACCAAAGAACCGGACCCGTCTCTGGTTAGGCACTTTCGAAACGGCCGAGGAAGCAGCGTTGGCTTACGACAAAGCTGCCTATAAACTAAGAGGTGACTCGGCGAGACTCAACTTCCCTAAACTTCGCCACCACGGTTTTCACATTGGTGGCGCTTTTGGTGACTACAAGCCTTTGCAGTCCTCCGTCGACGCTAAGCTTGAAGCCTTTTGTGAAAGCTTGGAACAAGACCGAAAGCAAGGGAAAAAGAAGAAATCGTCAAAGGAAACGGCTGAGAACAAAAGCAAGGATCAAGAAAAGACAGTGAAGTTGGAGGACTCGTCTTCTTATTTGTCTCCGGTTCCGTCGGACAATGAGGAGTCATCAGAATCTTCACCTTTATCGGATCTTTTGTTCTCGGAGTTCAACGAACAGTTGTGGCCTGAAATTGGTTCTTCTTCGGAAATGTTTATGTTGTCCAAATTTCCTTCGTATGAGATAGATTGGGATTCTATTTTAAAACCATAATTTCTTTTCTTTTTTGTAATTGTATTTGTGTAAGCTTACTGCAATGGAGTTTTTGACAGTTGCAGTGGCGGGTTAGGGTTCTTAGTATGATCTCCATGGTGATCAGCTCGTTTTTTTAGCGCTGAACCAAGGGAGAAATTTGTTAGTTTCAATGTTCATAGTTATTGTAATTGAATCTATCAACGTTATTTATTATTATTATTATTATTATTATTATTATTTAATAATTTTCAACGTTATTTATTATTATTATTATTATTTTAATAATTTTGGAAGATTATAAAATAATGTTTATTCAGGAATTAATTTAAGTGATAATTAATTTGATATCACTTAATAAAATCTTAAGTTAGGGTGATTGTATATGAAAAATATCTCTATTAATAGACACACTCATCAAAATCAAAAACAAGATACGAAATGATTCAAATTAGTCAAAATGAATCTTTGAAACCGTAATAATTTATTTTATAATTTGATTGCTCAATAAATTTTTATCTATTATCTTTTTCATTCTCCGTTGGTTTACAGCACTGAAGTACACTTACTTCTGAGGAATATGATTGAAGATTGTTGTAGCTGTATTTTTTTTCTATATGTTGTATTGATAATTGACATAAGAACCACCACATGACCGATATCTTCCTTCAATGCTATGTTTCCTTTTATATATTTTCAAGTCAAAACAAACAAATGGGCTCTTTTCGAGGGCACGAGCGTGGTATTGGTACAGGGGGTTTTGTCAGTATCTACAAACTAATTGCTATGTTAATACAATAATTAATGATATTTAAGCAAATAATGCTGAATCTTGTGCCTTGGAGTATAGATCTTGTATTTGTTTTCCTAGGATAAACTATACGTATGGTATTTTATTTTTTGATATGATCGATTTTGGTTATAGATTCAAAAATAATCAATTTTAATCCTTCAATCATTAATTCTCGATAATCCCTTAAATGAAATGTTACGTGTCAATTAAAAAAATCCATGTTACTTGTCTTCTTCTCTTTTTTCTTCTTATGAAAGTCATTTAACGTTAACCGCAAGATTATGCGAACTACATACAAACACAAATATAAAGATAACCTGAGTGCATATGTGTGTGACGAGCACTCTTTCTTCTGAATATGTTACTATAGTAACATATAGAGCAGCTGCTGAAATTGAACACAGATACTCTATTCTGAATGAGTACTGAACAACCCCCTAATTTCTGCTGGTGCAGTCTCAGATATATGCAATACAAAAAGATTGAAGGAACATGAAGAACTTGAAAGAGGGAAAAAATTGCAAGAAGAAGAAAAGAGACACGTGGATTTTTTTAATTGTCAATTCAGACTTTTGTTAATGGGTTAACCGAAGCTACCGGTTGAGGGGCTAAAATCGAATGAACCGATACAGTAAGGCATAAAGGACCAAAATCAATTTTTTTTAACTGATGATCAAAATCAAACAGACTAAAAATATAAGGGACCATTAGTACAGTTTACTATTTTTTCTATTACTTTATTCCATGAATCTGCCTCTGAAGTGGGCTGGGGTCACATTCTTAAGGTTTTGTCTTACATAATAAAGGTTTTACTAAATCACAATCTATGCTAAGATAGATTTGATAATTTTAAATATGATAATATCATATAAATATTATATAATTTATATTATATTAAATTTGTAATTGAGTTTTGTTAATGTATAATTTGGGAAAGATAGTGATTTCTAACAACAATATATCTTTCTATTTTGATTAAAAGCTTTTAGAAAATGAAATGAATAATTGTAAAAGAAAAATAGTTATATTATTATTAGTTTACTTTTTCATATTTATTTGTTTGATGTAAATTGTTATTCATCTGTGTCATAACCATTTTTAGGTAAAACAATTGTTTATTATTTTAACAAAACGATTATGATTTTTATTTGAAAAAATTGGTGATTTATGAATTGATTTGGATTAAATTAAAAAGGAGTCGCCATCGACCTTTGGGTTAGGTAGGTCGAATACCCAAAAGACGTCTTTTAAAACAATTTTAAGAAAAATCGTTTTTTAAGACGTTTACCAAAGATCCGTTTTAAAAGGATCCGGGAGTCGGTTACGTGTGGGAAAGGGTAAGCACCCCCCACGACGCCAAAAAACTGCTACTGAATCGCTTACACTTTATTGTAAATGGTGAAAATTACAAATCGAATATAAAGTTAAAATAAGATCCATTTATCGAACATTGATTAATTTGCTTCGAATTAAATAAATAGAGAAAATTCTTTAACTTGAAAAGAAATATCAAAATTAGCAATCATCCGTCGAGAAAACTAACTTTAATATTTCTTATCAGTATTAGAATATCCCCTCCTCATTGATATTAAAAAACACGAATCAAATATAAAATGAAGAATCAACATTATCGTGAAATAAATTGTTATTTAGAGAAACATGCAATGTATTGTTCGATTTAAAACACGAAATGAATTAATTAACAAAATAAAGTTGATTTCAAGTTAACATTTTGTTAAAATGCCGTATCGAATCGCATCACTTCGACCAAGTGAAACTTTCCACGATCATTCTACAAATTGTGTTCTTGAAAATATTCAAATAAATAAAAAAACCTAGAAGAACATTCATAAACCAAACAAAAAAAATCGCTCATATATACATTTATAAAAATGATTCTTATGAATACAAGAGACAAAATAAATTATAAAATATATACATAGTACACGCAAGCCTGAGAGAAATAAATGAAGTGTAAAATCTATAATAAATGTTTAATATAATAAGTATATATACAATAATGATAATAATAAACCAATAAACAAATAAAATGATTTCATGGACAACAAAAGGGTTAATATATTAAAAGATAAACTTTACCAATCGGAATAAAAACACAATAGTAAAAAGGCACAATAGAGGAATGACTAGATTAAAACAATAGTGAACAAAAGGGTGAAAACTTAAACATGAAGAAAATCAACAAATATTGTACACCATGAATACTGGGATCTCAATAAAATACTAGGTTAAACACACGAAAAAAATGAAAGATATCAAAATGATATATCAAATTAAAAAACAATAACAATATAAACGAATGAACTACAACGAATAAGACTAAATAAGATGCCATAACATGAAGTATATTAACCATATCAAAAGAGCTAAGATGAAAACAATATAAACAATAACATGAAATATAGTAATCATAAATATAAATTGATTAAGTAAATAAAGAGCAGAAACGAAATAAAAAGTAAACAATTCATAAGAAATAAAAAACTTCATTAGTGGCTAAAATGAAATATTATAAAGATCAATGACTACATTAAAATAAATGACATATTAAAATAGTGACTAATATAAAATAAAATGGAAACAAGATACCTAAATCAAAGAAAATATCAAAACGAAGTATCTAGTGACTGAAACGCAAGAACATGGCAAGGCTTGGGGGACCTAAGAATGATTTTACCTAGGAACATATGGCTAAAACGAAATAAAACTGAACATGCAGTCCAAATTAAAAAACAACAACAAAAAGACCAATTTTAGTGATCTAAATAAAACACAATAAAAATAACAGGGACCTAAAGGATGTTTACCCATGACCATTTGACCAAAACGCTACATCTGCTAAGGACCAGGACCAAACAGTAATTTGCCCATAAACTAATGACCAAAATATAACTGGAGTCACAAAGCTAGAGGACTTACGCTTGATTATACCATGATTTGGTGACATAGATGAAAAACAAGCCTAAGGTCCAGGGACCTTAGCGTGATTTTCCCAAAATCTCAAAATAAGAATACTTTCCCCTCCCCCAAATTTCATTCTGCCCGTTTCTCAAACCCTTCCTCTTCTCTTCACTCATTACGCAGCACCATTCGTCGCCCTAGAGGTCATCAACGTCGGTCGTCGCAAAATGGAGTCTGTAACACCCATAACCCATAGGATTATACCTACACATAATATAGATATCACATTAATTTCTAAAACTATTTTCCACTTCAAAAGTGATTTAAAAATTTGTTTTCTTAAGAAGGTAAATGATATTATCAAAATTATCATATCATATGAATTATGTTTCATTATAATTAATTTAATGTAAATGTCGACACTCTTTTTTCGTCTCATCTTTTAATATATTATTATTATTATTAATATTATTATTATTTAATTATATATATTTTGTAGGCTTGTACAAGACCCGAAGCCCAACAAATCTGGACTCAAAATACAACAACTCATTAAAAAGCTACAACTCGGTTTAAGCCTAAGACCTGTGTCCAGCAAAGACTCGACCATTGACCGTCTCAAATATCATCTTCAGCATCTCACGTGGAATCTGCACAAATCAACAAAATCATCAAGGAATCAAAGTCAAACAAATCCAACATAATCCCTAAAATTTCGGGATGAATTCACCTACACTTTACCTGCTCCAATCAAAGTCTCACCAAACAGAAAGAAATTGGCATGCAATGACAAATAAGATTCGGTGAAGAAGAAGAATCAAAATCATTCGAACAGGAGAGGTTCTAGGTGATAAAAAGGAGACCAAAAGCTAAACAAAAGGGAGGAGGAACTCACCAACATAAGGGGAAAAGATTTATGAAAAAAAGATTATCCACCTTTTGTTTTTCTTGAGAGAAAGCAATTGTTCAAACAAGAAGATATATTTGTTTTCCTCTTTAGAAAGAAAGATGTAACAAGGGTCATACATGATTGTTTTTTGAAAGCAATATTAAATCAATTGAGGTATTTTGTTATTCGTTCTTTCTAAAAAAAAAATCTGAGGGGCGATCATTCAAAAGCTGTAATACAGGGGATTATCACAAAGAGGGAAAAAAGTTTGTAAGGGTCCTCTGGTATTGGATTGTAACTAGAGAATTACTGTGTAAAAACAGTGGTTTTCCTCTTCATTCTTGTAAGCAGGGATTTCTAAAAGAAATAAGAAATCAACGATTTCTTCCTCATATATATTCATTTTCCAGCAAAAACAACAATGAAAATCCACAGCCAACCAAAAGAAAAACAGAGTTTCGAGCAACCATAACTATTGTTGAGAAAGACAAGAACGAAAAAAGAAAGCACTTAGGTACTTCTTATTTTGTTTACTGTCCAGCAGAAATTCATATGGATGTGTGATTTTTGTGTGAAGCAAGAAAGGAGAGAACTTAGTTTCATTTTACCTGT